GTGTGTGTGTGTGTGTGTGTGTGTCACACAGAAAGACCAAGAAAACCATGGGGTCAGGTGAAACTGAGCTGGGAGAGGGACAGCAAGGTCCCTCACAACTTAGCCAAACCTGAGCTGCCCCCTGGTGCGCTGGGGCTGTGCTCCAGCTGGGAGGCTGTTAGGCATAGGGCAGAGCCCATGCTCCCACCCTGTTTGGGATCAGATGGTGGCTGCCCAGGCCTGCTGGGTTGGGGACACAGGCTCTTCCTACTCGCCTAGGCTGCCTGTGGAGAGGATGGGGTCAACTACTTAACCATGGTAACTGCCTCAGCCCCAGCAGACCACAGGAGCCTGGCCCCAGACTCACTCAATGCCTCCAGCAGCCGTGCAGACACAGCATCTTTGGCCACCTCATGCCCATCCTGCCCATCAGAGGCCAGCACAACCCAGATGAGGCCACTGAAGGGCACTGGATGACCAGGGATCACCACCTGGTACCAGAAGTGGTGCCAGCCAGAAGGGCCTGTGCCCAAGCACTTAGTGAGGAACACTGGGCTACCCAGCTTCATCCGTTGGCACAGCAGCTGCAGGGCAGCCCGAGCCCCTTGGGATTCAAGCTTGTCCCTGGCCAGGGACAGTTGGCTGCCCTCTGGCTGTAGCCACCTCAGTGAAGGACCCACAAGCTGCTGGCGGAGTCGCTGCTTGAGGTCTGGCTTGAGCCACTCCACTGCCACCTGCTCTCCACACAGGTGTGACTGCCCTGCAGGAAAAAGGCAGAAAAAAGGACAGGTCTTAGTTCTGGGCCCAAGCGACCTGAAGAGTCACATAAGCCTGTTTTAATTTCTAGCCTCCCCATTTCCTGGTGGTGTTATCTGGCAAATGAACTATCTTAAGGTTTCATTGTATTTGTAAAGGGGGTGTAATAATTGCTACCTTCTAAGTTCTCTTGGAAGAGTACTGGTTGATGCAGGCTTTGTCTACCTAATAACCATATAATAGCTAACCTTTACTGTGAATACCTGCCATGAATCAAGGAATGTGCTAAGTACCTGCTTAATTCTCACAAGCCTCAATTAGACTGCCTTGGGCAAGTCCCCTGCTCTTAAAACAATCTCATCTATAAAAAGGGACATCATTCTGTGTTACTATCGTTGGAATGTTGAGGATTAAGTTAGGAGATAATACCTGAGAAGCGTTAAGTTTAGGTAAGTGGTAGTACCACTGCAAATTTTAAAATCTGAGGTCAAATATAGCATTAGGTCGCAAATTCGGGCATTCTTGACCCTAAGATCTTGCTACTTTACCCGCCCTGCTGATGTGTAGAGGTCAAGTGCCAGGCAGAACATTTTTGCCTCAATCCTCCCCCCGTAGTCTCCACCCCTACCTTCCATCAGGGCCTTTTTGGCCATAGCGGCAGCGCGGTGCGAGCTGAACTTGAGCAGCGCGATCTGTGCGAGAGCCGGCCCGGGACTGGGCAGCAGCAGCGCCTCCTGCAGGCCGGGACCCAGCGGCTGCAGCGCGAGCATTAGCGCGCGGTGGCTCAGAGCCGGCGGCAGCCCGTCCACACTCAGCTCACACTTTTCGGTACTGCGGCACACGAGCAGCGGGCAGGAGGGCCGCAGCAGGTGATTGTGCAGCGTGGCGATGGCGGCCTGGGCGCCGCGCCGCGAGCTGTAGCGGGCGTAGGCGAAGCCGCGGTTCAGGCCGCTGAAGGTCATCATCAGGCGGAACTCGTAGAGACGGCCCACTCTCTGGAACAGTGGGATCAGCTGGTGCTCGTACACATCCTGGGGCAGCCGCCCGATAAACACCTCCGACCCGGGAGGTGGCGGGCTTCCCACCCAGCCTGGGGGAAAGGGGTGGGGAGGGACACTGTTATCCACCGGGATGTTCCGGGGTTCGGGGCCCAGGGACCCGGCACAGGAGGGGCCATATGAGCACACGTCTGTGAAATGAATACAAGACCCATACCCCAAATCGTTGGCATAGTGGGTGACTGAGCTAAAACGGGGCTGGCACACAGTAGGTGCACTTTAAGACTGGCTCGGTTCCTCGAGGGGGAGAGTGGGTGGAAAGCCACAGGCAAGACATTTCCACGTTTGCTGGGGGAGGGGGTAAGGATAGTTACGGGTTTCTGACTGGGGAGCCCTGGGGTAGGCGCCTCCCCCAAAGGGGCAAGTCGCGGCCGTCGAGGCGGGCGTATCCCGGCAGGCGTAGGCCTGGCGCTAGCGTACCTGGGGGTGGCCCGCCATACTTCCTCTGCCCGTTCACTTGCACGAGACGGATGCCAGTCTCCCTGACCCACGCCTCCAGTGCCGCCTTGTTCTCTGGATTCACCCTCTCACACCACAGCTGAGGGGGAAAGGGCAGGTTGGAAGCGCGGATCGCTGCGCCCGCCCCCACCTCGCCTGCAGTGCTGGGGCCCCATGAACCCCCATTGCCTGTGCTGGTGGGGCTTGTCCACACCCTCATTGACAAACACTTACCTCACACTCGCGCTTGGACTGCATGGCTCTCGGGTTGGTCCGCTGGTGCCTCCTATATAACCTATCTGCATCTGGAAGCTTCCCAACCCCTCCATCCCCCAAAGCTCTCATTGGCTCTGAGCACGACCCCGCCTCCCAAGGGGGAGGGGGTATCCGCCGCACGTGCGCCGCAGGACCCGCCGGCCCCACAGGTGCAAGCTAGAAACCCTTGAGGTTCAGTCTGCGGGCAGCCTCCGCTCCTAAGAAATGGTTGGCAAATTGACAAGGATGTACGCTGTTGGCAAGAACTCGGGGGGGCACCCTTTATCCTGGACAAAAGCCCGTGGGGCCTACTGTAAGTCTTTCTCCCCATTTTCCACTGCTAATGTGGTCAGGCTGACAGGGAAGGCAGGGCTAGGCAATAGCGACACAGGCGGACTCCAGTGGTTGAAGCATTTTATTGGACCTTTGGCGACTGGTTGTGGGGAGCAGTCCCTTAATTTAGTGTAGGAACTTGCAGAGGAGGCCATCTCAGGCAGGGACCCTGTAGTCCACGAGCCAGACTGGACTGTGCCCCCAGGGCCTCCTATGGAAAATGGCCTGGTATCTGGCCATTTTTGCCTGTAATTTACCAATAAAATAATAATAAAAATAAAAAGTCTCTGTTCTGACGACTCTTCATGTCTTCCTGGTGGAACAGAATGTGCAAAGCTGTTGAAGTACATATGCAGTTTTGTCTTAGCCTTAAATGGTGCCAGTCCCACTGTTCTCTGATAGTTTGCTCCAATCAGCAGATGCAAAGGGCTGGCTTGTTCTCCTTTTGATTTCCTCCACAAGGTCTTCTCTTCGAACATCCACCTGGCCAGGATGAGGGAAAAAAGTGGTATGAGCATCTTTCACTCCACTGCTCCCTGAGGGCCCGCTCCTTCCTCTTGTCATCAGGCTTGGCTCAGCAAGGAGCAGGAACCCAATCAAACACCTCAGGGTAGATAGTGCTTCTTGGGGGAGCCAGAGGCACAGGGTGTATGTGGGGATGGAGATCTTACCCTACCGTGACCATAGCAACAGGTTAAGCCTTTACGTCCTTTACAAGTGGGTACTTTGCTCAGGTCTTGAGTGGGCATCGGCCTACCAAAATGGCATACATTCCCTGTCCCTCAGTCTTTCTGCCCGCCTGCTTACCTCTTCCCTGCTGGCCACTGAACGAAGCTTGATGACCCCATCCTTGAGCTCTTGCTCACCAATGATGGCCACCAGTGGGATGCCTGCCTCCTCACAGTACTGCAACTGGTTCAGTAATTTTGGGTTCTTCTTGTACAGCAGCTCTGCCTGCAGGGGACCCGGGCAGAAGATGAAGGCTGGTTTCTGCCATCCTCAGGGACAACCTCCTGGGGGCCCAAAGCGTCACCTTGTTCTTAGCTCCACCCCCAAGAAAACACAGAATAGCAGGGTCACTATGGGTGAGCTTTTATTTAGTCTGTGCCCAGCACTCCCAAGGTTACTGCCACCCTGTGGCTTGCCTCCTGTACCTTGATCCCAGCATCCCACAGCTCTGAGATAAGCTTCAGTCTCTCCTCCAGCAGCTTCTTCTGGGCAGATGCCACAAGCACCTGTGTCTCTGTGGTCCGTACCTTCTCCTCCAAAGCCTGGGGAAGGCACAGATACGAATCAGAGAGTGAACTACCCCTTACAACACCAAGGAGCAAACCGAGCAGGCCCTTGTCAGGATTCTGAGACCAGGCCCAACTTGGTGAGCTCCACCAGGGAAGGACCGATTTTCTCATCTAGCAACTGGGCATAAGGTAGCTCTTAGAAGATATAAGAGCTGAACTGACTGGCTTGTACATGTGACTTTCCAGAATAACCCAGGGGCAAGGACAAAGGTAGCTTACGTACAGCAACTTCTAGCTCATCTCCACTGAGTACCTTATGGGTCCACAAGAACATTCACACAGAAGTGATATTGTGAGCCCACCAGACAATCCAATCATCCCTGGCAGTTCTGGTTCCCACTTACCATCTGCCCAGTCAAGAGACTGCGCCTCTTATACTTCAGCCATAGGGCATAATCTGGGGTGTGTGTGAATGGGGGGAAGGGAGGATGTTGCTGTTGCCCCTTGTCTTTTTTTCTGGAAAATTATTTTCATAGTTCTTACAACACAAGATGCTTAGTGGAACAGTGATTTCAATTGGGAAACATGGGTGGTTTTCCACTCTGGAGAAAAGGATGGAGCAGTGGGAAGGTTTCTGCCAGAGCATTCCCCAGGGAATGAAATGCAAGCAGCCAGTTAAGAGCAGCAGAAGCAAAGGAGCGCTTGAGGCCATGAGGGCTTCCCTGGTGTTACTCTAGGTGCTAGACAGTCAAGACAGCCTTCTGCAGGATCCCAGGGCCTCAGACACGTGCTTCCCACTTAGAGACAATATCACAGAGTGGTTGGGAGCAAGACTTTGGAGTTAGACTGCCTGGATTCAAATTCTGACTCTGCCGCTTAAAAGAATCATGACTTTAGGTAAATTATTTCATCTATACTCTTCATCTGAAAAATGTAAATAATAAAAGTAGCTACTCTCAGAGGGCTGTTGAATTTTATTAGATAATGCATGAAAAGCGCTAAGCACAGTGCCTGGCAGAGTAGTAAAATATTAAGTATTCTGTATTGTGAGGAAGATCCAGGTCGTTGGATATACCAGCCTAGATTCCTGACAGCGCTGAGGGAAGTAGGGACCCAGAGCAAGGGATTTTGTGAAAAAGAATGATCAAATATCCATAAAGCTGACTATAATGGGGCAGGAGTCTGTGAAGGACAGTGACCATCTTTTCTCCATTTCTCTGCAAAGATGCTCCTTGCTTAAAGCAACGCCGCTTGCCCCCTTGGAAGTCAAAGAAGATAGCTTGGATGTCACCACCTGCCCAGACTGTCTTCTGTCCACTTACCTCCAGCCTCTGCTCCACAATGGAGAAGATTCGCTCCACGCCAATGCTGAGCCCCACGCATGGCACCTTGCGCCCTTTGGGGTCGAACATGCCCACCAGCCCATCATAGCGCCCTCCAGCAGCCACACTGCCCACACCCAGGGGCTCTTCCCCTGCTTGGACTGGGGTCTGTAGCAGCACTGCCTCATAGATCACCCCAGTATAGTAGTCCAGGCCTCGAGCAAGGCTCAGGTCAAAGGAGATCTGTGGAGACAAGAACATGGTCAGTACCAGATGAGGATCAAGGACCAAAAGCCACAGAGCTCAGCTAAGGCTCCCACCCCCAACCTGACTCACTTTGTCAGCAATGCCAAACAGGGTCAGGTACTCAAATAGCAGCTTCAGGTCTCCCAGGCCCTCCAAGGCCTGCTTGTTTTGGGACAGTTTAGGATCCTGCAGCAGCTGTTCCACCAGGGATACCCCACCTGGAGAGACAGGTTTGTGAGCCAGACTGACTGTCAGGAAGGAAAAGGTAGGGGCTCTACCTTTTTGCCTGGACTGCACATGCGTGTGTGTGTGTCTCTCTCTCCCTACACACATACGCACAGAGACAGAGTTTCAGCTTTAGGGTTGAGGGCAGTGGGTGGCTGCTGTGGAGGTAGGGTTCATTCCTCACCATGCTGCTGGACGTAGTCCCCAATGCGGTCGGCCACCTCAGGTGCGAGGCCCTTCTCTCCCACCATCTCATTCTTTACTTCCTCCCAGGACACCTGAACAGACAGATACCAGTCACGGACCCCTGGACATCTTCCCTACCACAGAGCATGTGTGAGCCCTCCTCAGAGGAGGGCACTCTTGGAACAGAAGCTACCCTTTAACCTACATCTTGGGGCTAATCTTCCCTTGGTGGGCATGGAGGCAAGCCCCTCTCTCCTAATCTTGTTTTCTATTTCTCGAGGCAGGGTGGGATCTGGGGGAAAAAAGGGTGTTTGGGTCGTTACCTTGTCCAGCTTGTCCACCGAGGAACAGATAGTGCGGAACTTGCTATCAGGAACCCCACAGATGGCAAACAGCCCGTCTAGGATGCGCCGATCATTCACCTGTAGGTCCCCGCAAGGCATAGTGAGGACGGAAGCTCTACATAACCCTCAGTAGCCTTGGTCACTTGGGCTACTGGCCCCTCTGCACAAGGACCTTCTCCTGTGAGAGGTCAGGCCCAACTTTGCCCTCCTGGCCCCGTTCAGCTCTGACCTTGACCAGGAAGTCGCCTATCTGAAGTGAACTCAGGATCTCACACATGATCTTCAGGCACTCTGAATCAGGGATCATGGGGTCAAATTGCCCAGCAATGTCAAAATCCTGCAGGGAAAAGGGTAGTTAGAGGTGTTAGGGATTTCACCTGCTTAAGGGGGGACTCCTAGGAGCTCTCCTCTCCCTCTGTAAAGGCCAGTTTGCACTCATGCACAGACCTTCCTCATTCTCTGATTCAGCCTAGAGGAAAACCCCAGCATTCTTGGGTCTCTTACCAGTCCCGGTTCCCTTTCCATCTATGGGGCTATTTCTTCATTATCTCACTCATTTACTTTTCCTTATTTCCTCAAGCCATAGTGGGGATGACTAGACAGCCTTAGTCCTTTTCTCTATTTATTCAGAAGCTCTACCTACCAGTCTGGATGATTTGATACCTCAAATCCAATTTCCCCATTCTTTGCTGTGATCCTATCACTGTGATTTAATATGAAGAGCACTGACCTAGAGTTCTAGTCTTTGCCTTTCTTATCCCTATTATCTCTTCATCCTGCTGAGTCTCAAATTTACTCACATATAAAATGGGGAGAAAAATCCCTGTTTTCCCTTCCCCACACGGCCTTTCTGAAATCTATATGAAAATACTAAAGAAACCTAAGGGTTAGCATGATCTGGGGCATCCAGGGTGTTAAGGACACCAGGAGCACTCAGTAGGTTCTACTGTATTGAGGGCAGGCCAAGTGACCCACCCTGTCCCACATACTCACACACTGGTAGAATTCCCGATATCGGCCACGGGTCATGGCTGGGTTGTCCCGTCGATACACTTTTGCTATGTGGTAGCGTTTAATGTTGGTCAGCTTATTCATTGCCAAATACCGAGCAAAAGGAACCTGATGACAGAGTTAAGGAGAGAGCCCCTCCTATCACAGTCTGGAAGCTGATTATCATCACCAACAGCAGCTGGGTCTAGCCATGTTTCAGTAAAACCACCACCTGTGAGATTAACAGCATTTCTGAATATCAGAAAAAATCAACTTTGTTAAGAAAAGGGGCAGCTGATGTCTCAAAAAAGATCAAGGCTCCTTTCACCTTGGTAGTGTCTCCCCTGGGCTATGCCGAGCTGGGCAGATTGGCCAGGGAGCAGAAAAAGGGCCCCATGTGGGAACTAAGCAGAGGACTCTCTGA